ATGTGGAAGAGAAACATTTTAAACACACACACGCACATGCACACTTTATGAATCTTTGAATCTCTGAATTTTCAGATGGTAAATTGGAGGGCAGGGACTGCCTTTGTTTGTGTTTTGCTGAGAGCATCATTGGCTTGTAAGTAAATAATAAAAAGAATAATATATTCTTTAAAATTTCTTGCTAATAAATATCTACAATACACTTCAAAATTATTAACAAGCACATCTTGGCATGGTGCATATTCTTCCTTAATTCTTCTGGAAGAAGAATGAGGGATATTGCAGACAACCTTTCAGATGTTCTTGTTTGTAATTATTACTGGTAAGCAATAGTAATTAGTTGACGATAAAGCTGGAACTTACTGTGTCCTCAGTTTTTACTTCATCAGTAATACCACTCACAGGAAGGGGATAAAATAAAAGTGCTATACAGTTGTAAAAGGACAGATCAGATTTTTTTCTGGTGCACTGTTAATAAAGAAAATATTGACTATAAGAGTAAGATTATTACTAGCTCATTTAGAATAACATCAAAAGAGATCTAAATGGCACATTTACCTAACCCATTAGCACTTTTCAGGTGGAACTTGAAACAGCTAATAAGATATCAAAAGTTAGAAGTCAGTGAGTCACTCAGTAAGTGAATCAGAAGTGAGAATGCTATTAACCAAAGAATGTCATCAAAAGAGCCACCACCAGAAAACCCTTAACAAAGAGACTGTTTCATCATGGCTCCAGATCCTTCCATCGGATGATTTTTAATTTGTAATTACAGATCTCTGTGTGTTTCTCAGTTATAACAATGAAAGATCATATTCCTTACATGAGGAACAAATGATCTTCCCGGTACTGCAAATATTGTCTGCTAGCCTCCCCTAACCTAGTACTAAAGTAGACTTTTTCCCCCTCTGTCCTTGGATAGTTGTAAAATCTATCATCTAGCTATGAATGTGAACCTTTTAGCAAATAAATGCTTATTGTGATTCACTGGATTTCTGCTCACAAAATTCCCAGTGCATAAATACTGCAGATACTAGAGAAAGTGGGCCAGAGAATACTTCAAGAGTAGGCATAAAACACTTTCAGGATTTTATACTACTGCATGATATTATACAGCACCACCCATAGTGAAATTTTCAAAAAAACAGAATTGTATGAAAAACTGTATATAAATAAAATAGTTAAATAATCTGGTTGAAATATAGCATTTGGGTTAACATGGACCATGTTTTAAGTAAATTTGTTTCAGCGATGGACTGGAGTTAAAACAGAATCTTTCATAAGCACATTTTTTTTAAAAAAAGGTCTGCTGTTCAAATGCAGGGCCTTTTAAAGACTAAGTAGAAAGGATTAGAGAGAAAAATATTCTCTTTGATTACTACTGCTGTAAGAGGTGTAGGGGTATCTGTTGTGGTTTACTAAGGAATATAGTTGTAAGACTTTGACTGACTTTGTGGCAATTTATGTATTAATTCTTTGAGTTAGGAAGGATTTCAAACATTCCAAGTAGATTGGGCCACCATTTCTCACCCCACCTCACCCCTATGGATGTAGAAATTTCTGCATACAGGGCTAACCCCCACCCATCTCCCCCACAAGTATGGCTCCTTCAAGACACCCGCTACTATTGACCAAAACCCACCTATAATGTCACACTAGTAGCTATGTGGTGGAGTTTGTTAGAAGTTAGTGTTACTTCACTCAGCATTAACTGACAATTGAAAATCTAACTGGACGCCTCTACCATCTCCAAGACAAATTGCTGTTGGATTCTATGGGTCCATTTCCTGCTATGTCCAAAATGTGCCCTGCAGCTCTAATACTGCTGAGCTCTGGCAGAGGGGCTTCTGAGGGGTCCCAGGACGTGCAGTATAATGATATGAACCTGGTACTTCTCCCTTTCCTCACAAGCGAGGTCCATGACTTCTAGTTCCATTATACTCAAAGCAGCAGAGGGGATGATTTTGCCCTTATAAAACAGCATTAGAACAAATGAAAGAGAAATACAGTCAAGTGAAACTAGGAGAAAAAATTGGTTTACGAGACATGTATACTCAAATTATCCTAAAGGGCTTTCTAAAGTAATGAAATATTGCTATTGTGGTTTCTCTGTAGGCAAATACAACAACCAGTAAGTGATCAATAACATGAATTGGACACTGACACAAGTGTTATTTTGGCAAGGATTGTTAGCCTATTCTTTTGACCAAATCTTGTGAAATCTTTAACTCTCAAATGGACAGCCATCAGAAATGGGTCAAAAAAGCTTGATTCAGCATCTGACCCGAAGGTTTGGTGGCACCTGTAAGCTCTCATGAAACTGGCACTTTCCAGAAGGACAGCATGGCAACTACATGAAGTCACAGACAATTTCTAGAGATGATTGTTCTGCAAATGATATTGCGGCACAGTTGTTCTGTGTACCAATTCTGAAACAGACATTACTTAACAACACATAATTCTTACTAGTCACTGGTACATTTACACAATATCCTACTATGTCTCTAGCACTACGGGGTTTCTCCAGTACAAGAAATAGAGAACCATTGGTACAAAACATATTTATGACAATTTTCTCCCTGTTGCTAAGACAATCAGGGTGAAGAGCCTCAGCACAGTATGCAGCAATGAATAATTCACTCACATATACATACACTGCTGCATAGACAGTAGGCGAAGTTAGAAAGTTTCTACAGTTTTGAAAGCTTGTATAGGTTCTACCAATATTTCTCCATTACATGTATAAAGAATCTCTCTCAAACTGGTAAAAGCATTCAAAATGGAAGAAAATGTGTTATGTGTGACCGCTATAATAAGAGATTATAATTTCTGGATATAGGCTTCAAGTCCAATATTCATTTCCTATTATGTGAAACATGATCTCTTGTCTGGCATATGTGAAATTGGTATTCAGCCAAATGGACTTTTGTTTGCACATCCAGGTTTTATCTAATACGTGCTGAAATGACATGATGAGTGGTTCCAGAATGGGCTAGAATACTTGACAAATGGAAAGACATAGCACAATTAAGCATACTGCCTCCATTCACAAAACAATGCAGTTGTTTAGAACATAGTAAGATTTTTTTAAATGTTGGGTGACTGCACATAAAGGTGCCAAGCGAAAGTTTTGTAACTTGTTACTTTGCATACAAGTTCCTAAGCTCTCCCTAATACTGGTGGGTGGTGTTACACACAGTCTTTAGGTGTGGAGGAGTCTTTCTAGAAAACTTTTCTTGACTGAATTTGGCCCCAAAAGGCTTTTACTTAACACAAGCACTTCAGTAGAAGCCCCACATCTGTATCACAGGCAGAATTTAGCCCTAGTAACCTCCTTTTCTCTAGCTGCCCTGACTCTCCCCTCTTTCCAACATTCAGCAACTAATCTGTTTTTCACACTGCTCTGACTGCTCTCCCCCACCTATGACTGCCAAGTTCCCTGGCTCTTTCCAAATTGAAATCCAACTCCTTATCCTCGTGTTCAAGCTCTGACCCAGACTACATCTCTTCTTCTATTGCTCCTCATCTCCGCCACTCATTTTGATCTTTGTACCCTTTTCCTTGCTGCTCCCTACCCTTGGAAAGTCCCAACATTCTTCTTCCTGTGTATCAGCCATCCTCACTGTCCTCCTTCAAATCCCTCTGCAAAGCCCACTTTTTTGGTTTGCTTTCTTCCATTCTTGTGCTCTCTACTCCTTGTCCTACCTCAATCTCCAACTTAAAACTTCCAGAAAGTATCTGATTTGCTCATTATTTCTATACCTCACATTATTTTTATTTGTTTAGCTCTTTCCCCTGCTTGTTCTTGTTCTTTCTTTTATTTATTTTTATATTCTGTTGGTATTTAATTTTGAAAGTAAACTCTTTGGAATAAGGGGCCATGTGTAGTTTAAACTCTGTAAAGAACCATGCAAAGTAATGGCTCTATACAAACCATTTAAAAATAAATAATAATAACTTATAGAAGACAAAGCACAGAAAATCTTAATTCACATTTGTGTGCGAGTCCCTTGATGTCCTTCATATAGACCATGATCCAGCAAAGCTGCTTGACTTTAAGTACACAAGTATCTCATTAACTTCAATGGGACTACTCACATACTTAAAGTTTAAGCAGCTGCTTATGTATTTGCTGGATCAGGGCCACAGAACCCCAGTGCAGTGCTATGCACACACCATATCAGCATTTTTTGTCTTAGCAACTTGTAGTATATAGTAACTTTCTTTACGTTTTTTTTTTTTTTTTTTTTTTTTGGGGGGCCCAGAAAAA